TGCCTGCTACATCCTGGAATCGCACCTTGACTTCAGTGTCATGGTTAAAGAGTTTTGCCCTGCTCTTGCCAATACCGAAAATGCCTCCTCCTCCTGCAGCACCGCTATTAGCCCGTCGGCTCATCCACCAGATAAAGCTGACCAGTAGAATCGTAGGAGCAAAAGTGAGAATCGTGTTGAGGGCTGATACTTCCTCATGGTATGCAACAGGTATACGTTCCGAAGGCTGTATCTCTAGCTCATCTTGGACGGCATCGAGCTTTCGTTCAAAGGCCTCTACGCTACCGATGGAGAAGTAATAGCTATACTGAGCGGCTTGTGGGGGGGTGGTTCCGGTGGTATCGCCCTTCAGTACAATTCGGACTTTTGAACGATTAACGACGATGAGTCTGTCGACGAGGTGCTTGTCAAGGAAACTGTTCCTGAACTCTTGCCATGTTATTTCCTTTTGGCTGAGGTTGGAGGTAGTGGAACTCGTCATTGCATAGAGGATAGCTGAGACCACGAGCAATAGGAATGATTGTCCTGGTGTAAGGCCGCCATTATTACCTCCAGGTAACTGTTCCTCTTTCCGCTAAGAATCACGGGTAAGACACACATATTATAGTCCGGTAACCTATTTACCTCTTTATTATCTTTCGATTGATCCTCCATTTTGTCTGAAGCATCGATTTTCCTCTCACTTTGAGATTCCTTCCGATTTTGTCCCAACTCGGATGCGTCTTTCTCCCTCTCTTCCGGAGCTCTGGACTTCTCCCTATCCTCTGTGGATCGAGGAGACTTCCCTTCTGTATTTTCTGATTTGAGAACCAGTTTGTCGATAAAGGCAAATGTGCCGTAATGCCGTGTCTGCGCGGCCTTGCCTTTGGTCAACCCCAAGGATGATCTTCTTGAGAGAAAGAAAAGTGCAAGAGCATCGTTAGCGATCTTCTCTGCTGAAACATCCTGAGAAGTCGTCGAATTTGCTTGCACACCGCGTCCTACTTTAGGTTGTGGTGCAAGTACGACCTTTGCTATGGCCTTAGAAGACTTCTGAGTTTTTGGCTTTGCCAATGCTACGCATGATTGGTGAAATTGTCTGCGAGCAGCAAGGCCAGCCCTCGCCGTTCGCGGTAGCATGACAAAGTAGGATTCAAGATAGATCTGAGCCAGACTGTGACCAGAACCACTGCCGCTAGGTCCTCAAGGGCGAGCCCTCTAAAGCTAATTTTGAATGTTCGAGTTCATAACCGAACGAACATTATAATTGCACCTCTTCTAGTGAGCTCTACGTGGCGTGTCAACTTACAGCATGCTGATACAATTTTCGACAGTACGATGTCGAGCATCAAAAAATGGCAGGAAATTAGGGACGAAGACCTCAGCCCGGAAATAGTTGACGAGACGCTTGAAGATATCCCTGATGACGTTTGGGTTACTGCTGCGTGCGCGGAACGCGTATTGAACAAACCAGACGTCACTCAAGTACTGGTCAAAACAGGACTTAGACATAGTGCACGTGCAATCGAATCAACTAAGGGCTCGTTAGTTTCCTATGAACACGTCGGAGAGGACGGAGAGTTAGAGGGTAGCCCAGAACAGCGACTGGTATCCTACTTTCAAACTCACGAACGCGAGCGCAAACTCTGTATCCTACGTCGACTCCTTCTTGAACGTTTAGATCGCATTCAGACATATCTTACAATTTCCAATGTTTGGAAACCGGGCGGTCTAGAGGAGGCCTCGCAGCCACCAGAAGAAGAGGAAGAAGACCCATGGGCAGATCCAGATGAAGAGATGCCTCCAGTAGAAGAAGAAGAGTCTGAAGCACCCTTTACATTCTTTGACTTCCTTACGCAGCCCTTGG